AAATAGACTCTCTCAGAGTGGTACACGGGACAATCTCAAACATAGCCTTTCTCTTAACCATTTGGTCAAACGGTTTGACCTTGGCCAATCCCTTTCCATTAGGAAGAGAAAGCTTTTCTGGACTTCCAATGTTTCCATTTTCAATGTACATGGATGTTTGGGAAGTAGATCTTCCAATCAAATTTACATTACCAGTGCGCTAAATCGTTTCTGATTCAATAACAATAAGCAAATAAGTAAGATCGATAAGGGTCACGTCGTGGTCTGTCATATAGTAATCTTTAACGAACTCACTATATGACTTAGGAAGTTACTGAAGAACCAAGTCAACAGCCAACTTCCTTGAGACAACGACACCTAACATTTCCAGCCTGTCAATGTGTGACTTCATCTCCAAGACATGTACACACACAGACCTTCCATCTTGGCATTTGCTTGCGAATAGGGTTTGAGTGACCTTAAACTTTTCAAGTCGACGAACATGTGGGTCAGGGAGAATAATTAGAGGAGGTAGAGGAAGAGAAGTTCCACTACAACACAAAGAAGGGATTAATCTTTCACCTCGATCGTCTTGTGGAATATCATCTTTATAAGGAAAGCCTTTTCCAAAGGATTCGGGAAGACCATATTTGTCAGAACTAGACATCTACAAGGGATAAATTCAAGTTAATTGATTTAAGTCCTTAATATAACACCCAAATGAAATATTAAGGCTAGGACCCAACACAATATTCTGCAATTCGGAAGAGGGATGTCGTAATCCAATTGTAAAATATTTGAAGGTAGGTAAATGACGATTTACCAATATCCTAGATTGTTTTGAGATTCATTGAAATTTTCAATGGCATGTTTAATCTCGATTAGGCCCTTCAAGATTGTGACTGGGATACCGAGGATCACAAACAAGGTGTGAATAACCATGCAAATTATCTTGGTACTCTCGATGTCATTTATCATCTAATCCATGTGCCGGTTAACCACACACGCTCCATTGACCAATGATAATTTACGAGAAACCCATTGCCATCCTTCATTAGTCCACATTAGTGTGTCGATTAACCACATATGCTCCACTAACTGACCAATAAGGTGCAATGTGCAATTTCATGGGTTAGCATCAAATTCACATTTTTCCAAAAGTAACTAAGATTAGGAATTTATAAAAGGTTTAGTTACTTTATATTTCATTATACTTATTAATGAGAATGTCCTATCCTACTCGTTCGGCTAACGACCCTCCACTAGTCACAAACGCGGTGGGTAAGAGTGTATACCCATTAGTGGTTGTTATACATGCCGCTGCCTTAAAGACCCCTTATAGACTAGCTTCGTGAATGAGGTCTACTAACAGTAACACTGACTTTTAACTTATACATATATAATATATTAGACTTTTAATTTTATATAGTATAAGGGTGTATCTTAAACTTTTAAAATACTTTGTGGTTTAATCTATTAATTAAACTATACTCTTAATTTAATTAAACTTAAACCATGTGATTATGGATTCATTAATCTTCTCTTTTAATTAAACATTTAACTAATTTATTGAAATCCATAAAGATGTAATTTGAACTATTCAAAACATCAAGGTGCTAAATATAAAAATTCAAAATTAAAAACTATTTAATTAATTTTTAAGTTATGAACCTAAGAGTTGCATCTTTTGAAACCTTTCAATTACAAGAGTTAATGTTTTCATGAATGAGACTTTTCATATTCCATAACTTTAGGGCAAGTTATGAAACTCTTGAAAACTTTTGGATTCCATAACTTATGGACTTAATTTTGTAACTCCTTAAAAACTTTTGAGTTCCAAAACTTGATGACAAGTTTTGTAACCTCTTAAAACATTTAGATCAAATTTAAAACTAATAAAAATAACCATATATTCTTTATCTTTTACCAATTTGACCTAATGCAACTCTTATAGCAAGATAACTTCAAATCAAAGAATTACAAACAATTAGCTTATCATATAAACTAGTAATTATCTTAAGATTTGAAATTTAATCTTTTAATTGGATAAGGTAGATCACTACCATATCAGAAAAAATAGATTTTATAATATAAAACAGTTTAAGGTAATGATCCACATCCAATTCTGGCCAAAAAACCCAAAAATCTGCCAACAGACTTCTGAACTCGTCGAGTCAAGCAATGAACTCGTCGAGTTCACCCTGGCAGAAGGCAATTTTTCCCTTTTTTTCAGCTTTGAACAACTATCGAATGCATCTATATAACAGAAAACTACCCATGAGTCTAATACCACTGTTGGGTTTTATGTACTCTAACATCCCTATGGTGCACACACAACCCTAATTCTTTGGAACTATGTTTTCTCTAGTTATACATGCAACAAAAAATATCCAAAGAATGAAACCTATAACTAACATACAACTTGATATTTGAAACATAAAACAAGTTAGACAATTACCTCTTTGTTGTAGCTTGTAGAGTTTTGGACTTTCAAGAGATTAGCACCTCAAGTGTGATGCCTAAAATTGTTCACAAAACACCACCAACAATTGGAGGACTTGAGAGAGAGGTTAGGCACACCAAAATCGGCTATACTCTTGTTGTAACACTTGTATCAACGATTTTGGTTAAGAGGTTACATATATATAGTGTAGGATTCCAAGGGTCACTTGTAAACCCTAATCCATACACTTAGGCTTATGATCCAACAACTCATATTGACTCTCACATAAACTTAGCCCATCATGGATTAATAGCCCAAAGCATATGTATAACTGATTTATATAATCAGTCCCCGTTAATTTAATTAGTCTCTTTTGATCACTAAATTAGTTCCAAATTAATTTTTGATCAATACTAATTAAATAATATGATTTCTCAATTAATATATTATACTTATAATATATTAAGAAATCACAAATAACCTCTTTCTCAAAATCCATCCTATCAGATTGTTCTGGTGAATGCAACCCAAAATGGACCATGCTACTCTCGGGTCAAGCAGATACCAATTATAGTTATGGGCTTAGACACCTAATCCAACAGAAGTTACATGTTACATTCTTCGCTCTGACCAAATAAAAGGGAAAATTTTTCAGCAAACCTTCGAACAAACTTTCTCTTGAAATGTTCAACACTTTGACGATTTTATCCGAAGACAAAAGTTCCTCTTCCTTCTTTCCCAAAGCAACATGTAATCTTATCTTTAATCTCTTATACTCATCTTTGTCTTCAAACCTATCATCTAGCTGATACTGAATAGAGATGGACATCATGTGATTTATTGGAAAATCCAGTTGGTTAAACTCAGAGTTTTTGATCTCATAACTTTTCTTTCGAAATTTTCCAAAATCAAGCATTTTTCCTGATGAAACAACTTGCTCGATTGTTTCATAACACCAATGTTTATTGTGATCACCCTTGTTTAAACCTGGTGGATCGCTTTGTCGTTGTCTCATAATGTTATTAATATGACGTTGTCTTTCGATTTCCTTTTCCACATTTCTCTTCTTCTCTTCTTCAAAAGGATTAATATCAATACCCTTCCCTCTGTCACCCTTATCAACTTTTGCTGGAGGTGGTTTCGAACTTGAACTTGAACCCCCAACACTTTTTCCAATAACTACACCTTTTATTATCGGTCTCAAAGTTGTTGTAGTAGAAGTTGTTGTTAGAGAAACAGGAAGTGATGTAGGAAGTTGAGTCGACATCACCTTCCTTACAACTTTACGTTGATCAGGATCTTTCGAAGAGCCAGCCCCCTTTTCTCCCCCTTACACCACATGTTTCGCAGGTGGGGCATTCGTTGGCAATAAAAGAACCAACTTCAGAATGGGTTCAAGCTTAGTCTTTATGTTGGATTCGATGGAAGAAATCATCTTCGAGATAGACTCCTAAGAAATAGAAGATTGTTGAGACAGATCAAGCTTTGACAAAGATTCTTTTAAGCTTCCAAGAAACTCCTCCAACTTTTTAAACACCTTAGCATATGTTTCTGTTTTGGCATCGAGTTTGGTAGAAAACAAAGCGTTATACTCGACAAGCTTCTTTATCGCATCATCAATAACATCTACCTTGCCATGAAGAATAAAATATTTTTTTTCTATCTTTTCCACTTCCTTCATCATCTATGACTTAAGCTCTTCCACTTTGATATTTACAGACTCCTCCACCTTTTTGACTTTCTCAACAAACAATTCATGACGTTCTTTTGCAACATCATGAAGCTTTGTCACCTCATATTGAAAATTTTGAACATGACGCTTTAAACATTCAACATGTTGTTTCTCAATCTGCTCCATAGCAATCTTGAGAGGATTCTCCTGTGACTTGGGAAAAATGTCCACTTCTACACTAGAAACTGAGTTTCGACCTCCTGTATCAGCCTGAATTTGTAACAACGAATTCAACTTATGATTGAGAATTTTGAATTGTTTCCCTAACATGATCATGTTATCAGGTATATTATCTTCCTCAGGATCGAACTGAATTTCTGCAAAAGATACCATAATATCATCATCATCAGGTTCATCTTCTTGAACTGTCTTTTCTCCTTCGGTGGATTACGAAGAGAAAAGTGATGTAATTGGTTGATGCATGATATTGGAAAAAATTGGTGAGATGGTAGAAGCAGGTAATGAAGATAGGATTAGAGAAGATAATGGTGGTAAAGAAGTAGAAGTATCAATGAGAGTGGTTTCGATAGCAGAAGATAGAATCAGTAAGGTATTAACAGTAGATGTTTGAACAGAAGATATACCAAGGGCTTCATTATGCGTCATCCCTTCACCCATAGTGACATTTGTGTTCATATCAGTTATGTTCACAGGGATGCCTGAGGTTTGAACCTCCTCTGTAACAGACTTAGTCCTCGAAACCACGGGTGGTATGACATCTACCTTCGCAGGGATGGTAGTAGATGAAGATTCACTCAAATTTGGTGGTTGTATCTGTATAAGATACGTATACATGGCCACCAAGACTTCCAGTCTCCTCGAAAGTCGACTTAACTGGATGTCCCTTTAAGGTGTCTCAATGGCCAATCCAATATCATGACGAATCGGTGATCCTTCGCTTCCACTTTCAAAATCAGTTTCAACAATAACTTCGTCAAGTGGATTAGCCAACTGTTTCTTCTTATTCTTGATCTTTTTGACTACTTCATGTGCTTTACGTTTTTTCAAAGGTGGTGATATTGGAATAGGAACATCACGAATACGAACACCCCTTCTGTTAAGTTGGGGTTTGCGAATTTTCTTTATCCCCTTCGAAATAGATCCCTCTTTTGGTGAATAAAATGGCTCATCAAAAGCTTCATCAATGATTGGTGGTTCAGGAGAATGATGAGGTCGATGAGCAGGCTTTTTTGTTTGTTTTAGAATACTTGTCTTCAAAGGAACAACATCCTTAGGAATTTATTTTTCACCATTTTCTTGAACATATTTTGTTATCTCCTTCTCTACTTGCACAGAAACAAATTTAGGTTGTTCATACTTCTTCAGTTTCTTAGAGACTTTAACAACCTTCGACGTGCATTTTTCCCCTTTTGGAAATAAAACACTAACTTGAACATTTGGATTAATAGTTGTCAAATACTGAAAAAAAATCGGATGAGCAAGATCTACTCTTCGTAAGATGGCATCAGGAATTCAAGCCATAGTTGGAAACAAATTTAGATCATCAGTAACAAGTTTTGGAGTATGATACATTGAAAACTCCGCCTTTGTATCTTTGGATAGTACCAAAATTTCCTCTTTCTCATATACTTCCCTTAAAATCAAGCTCCAATACCTCTTTCTAATGATGATGAACTACTATTTTGTGACTCGTTCAAGTAGGTTTCGTAGGCATACTTAATATGCTCTTTAGAGAACTTTCCCGATTGGTATTGCTTTCATTTGCCTTCGAGCCAATGGTTAATATTCATCACATCATTTTTCCCTTTGACAAACGAAGCTTTGACTTTCTACTTCGATTCCGGATTTGGAAAGTGAGGTTTTATTGGCTTAAACGGTTCCTGTTTCTTTCCTTTTACTTCCAATTTTTCAAAATTTTGTTTTGGACAACATTGTTTTGAAAAAGATGGATTTGGAGAATTGTGAAATCGATTTTGATTTTGCTCGATGTTCGATGAAAAACCTTTTGTCCTTGTGAAAAACTTCTTTGAGCTTGATATTGATTGAAATTTCTTTGTTCATTGCGTTGAACAACATTTCTTTGAAATTTGTTTTGACAAAACCTTTCACTTTAAGGATTTGGAAAAGAACCCTTCTTTTGTTGCAGCTTTGTTGTCTTCCTCAACAATTTTGTTGATTTTAGGATTCACTTTGTCACCATTTCCAGTGGTAACAAACACTTGATTAGGGAAAAACAACTTCATCGGTGCATTTGAAATTCGGATAGACGACTGCGTTGGATTCAAGCTAATGCGAACCTTTATCTTTCATCACCTTTTCGAACTTCTATGTTTCTCCATAAACCTGTTCGACAACAACTTGGGGAACAGTTGTTTGAATCGAAACGTCATCCTCATCAATATCAGTCGCACAGTCTTCAACAAGCACATGGTTATAATCATTAACTTTCGATGTGGAGGGTTGGTCAGTGTTAACCTTCTCCATTGAATCACGACAAATTTCATTGCCCTTGGCCATCGAAGTGACATTAATCATAAATAATTGAGAACGGTCAACAATTTCCTCTTCCTCAATTTCACTGATACTGTCAGAATCATCCTCGATATTAGCAAATTTTGTTGAGAGTCTAAAGTCGAAGTCTCAGTCATGTTCAAATTTTTTATTTGTTCAGTTTTTGTAAGAGTGTCATTCACAACATGCACTAATTCATTAGCATTCAAACATTCGTCAATTCTAATAATCCCATAAGCATAAGAATCAATAGCGACTTTATCGAATTCTGAAATCTTCTTCTCACAATCATAGGAAGTTGTATCTATTTTATCTATTTCGTAAACCAAGAAAGGCAATATATTCCTATGTTTTTCTTTGCATATTTCAGACAAGTGATGAAGTTCATTTAATTTTGCATACATTCTTTTAGCACTGTTACAGTAGATATTTCGTTGTTTCATTAACAACATTGTCTGCCGTAACAAACTCCATGTCTAGAGAAATGTTTTTCAGTTGTTGCTCTAGACTATCTATTCGACTTTTCTTAGACTCCAAGTGTTTTTGAGTATTTAGCAACAAGGTTTTTGATCTCTCAGCTTCGCTACTAACAGAGATTAGCATATCATTAACATAAGAGAGAGTATCATCAAAATCAGATAACACATTAAGATAAGAAGTTGAAGGAATGTTAAAAGATTCAACAAAAGAACGTACCTTCGATGTCATGGGAGATTTATTTGCTCCTGTCGACATGAAGCATTTCCCAGTAATGTTTTCCTCTTTTGAACTCCCCTCTTCTAATCTTTCATACATTGCACCATGTGTGGGATTTCTCATTTCTTCATCGTCGGAAACAGAAGACCAAATCTGGTAGGTTCCATCTCCTTCAACACCTCCCTTCGCAACCAGAGACAAGCCTTTTGTCTTATCTCTCACTTCTTCCAACCTCTCGACATAATATCCCTTATCTTTAATTTGCTCCTTCTTCTCCTCTCTCTTTCTCAGCATGCAATCTACTGGCAGATGGTTCGCACGATTACAGTATTTGCAGTCGAACCCGGAATCTCCCTTCTGCTTCTTTTCCGCCTTCTCAACAACAGTTTTGTTCACCTTTTTCTATTCCTTTGACTCCACTCTAGTTCCTAGCCGAGATGAAGTGTTTCCCTTAAATTCATTGTTGCTTTTGTATTTCGGATTGAAAGGATTCTTAAATAACTTTTTCACTTTATTGTTGGATTAGTAAGCCATAACCTCATCCTCAGAATTCATCAAGAATCCTTCATCTTCAGAACCAACTTGCTCAACAACCTCGTTCTCAGAATCCTTCGCTGACACCTTCGACATCAAGGCCAGTGGATCGCCGAGATTCATCTTCCTTTCTTCATCTATCTCATTGATTTCACTGTCATGAGCTTTTAGCACATTATACAAGTCTCCTAATGAATACCCATCGAATCTTTGTTGAGTCTTAATCATCAAGCTGATATTCCTCCACTGTTTTTGTAACCCCATTAGAAATCTGAGATTGTATTCGAGAGTTGAACGTGTAACTCCATAAGGATTACACTTGCATATCAACTAATTAAAGCGATCGTAGTGGAGTTCGATGGTTTCACTTTCCTTTTGCTTGAATTCCCCAAGGTCCAGTAAACACTGCTTCACCGAGCTCTTCTTTGTCTTCTCACTTCCTTGATACGTTTCTTTTAAAGTATCCCAGATCTCTTTAGCAGTCTTGCAACCTCGGACAAAATTGTAAACAATTGGTGGAAGAGCACCACGAATATCGAAAAGACACTTTTTGTCATTAGCTTTTTTCTTATCAACATGCAAGCCAACATCGACAGAAGAACCTGCTGTTCCAATTTGTTCTAATCTTCATGGATGGTAATTACCACTCGTAACAAAATGCCATAGATCCTCGTCTATCCCGTTGAGGTAATGCTCCATGCGATCTTCCCATTGCTCGTAGTACTCTGGAATAAGCATTGGAATGTTAGTGGAAGATCCAAGCAGATGAGAAAAACTAGACATTGTGTTCATGTTGAAATTCGCCATTGTTGTACAAACTGAAATGACGAAAAGATTTAGAAAAGGAGATCTAACAAATGAATCTATCAGAAATTGTTCAGAAAACAGTCGATCAATCAAACGATTGCAAAATCATAACAAATCACTCAAATAAAGCTAGTTTTCTTAATCAAAAAGTGCGGAAATCTTTTGAATCAGAAAGAACAATTCAAAACTTTTGAAAAAGATGAGAAAATAAGAAAATGATTGATTGTATCCTGCTCTGATACTAAATGTAGTGCTTTTGAATTGAGTATTAAGAACGAAATCAAGAACACAATGCGTTAAGAACACAGATGTAAATAAATTTTGGTTGGTTTGATTATAGCTTTTGAACAAGTATGTGACAACCCGAAATTTCTATTATGTACAACCATTCACTTCAATAGAAGTCAGAACTATTTCTGCTAACTTTTGAGCTGTGTAGAGTCAGTTTGAGTGTTTTAAAGCTTAGTACTTCAGGAGATAGCTGGAGAGAGGATGCTCTAGGGTTTATTGTGCATCAGTAAGATCTCAAAACTCCAAGAGTTTGGAGTTTACGGCCTAAACATGGAGTTTATGGCCGTAAACTCCAAAGAGTATAAATATGACACTTAGTCATTTTACTCATTTTTTTCACACTTTGAAAAGCTAGAACATCAAATCCTCTCAAGTATCATCTGATTTTCCTTCTTGATCTTCAACTTTGTAAGTGTTTCTTGCCCTAATTAGTTGATATCTTACTTAATCTAGTAATCTTACATGATTTCATCCGTGAAATCATTCCATTTATGTAGATCTTCAAGTGTTCTTAGTTTCACCAAGAACACCAAAAACATACACTAGTGTTCTTGGACTTTTAACACCCTTTCAAGCTTATCTATTGTAAGTACTCTTACCCTAGTGTGTTATAAGACTTGTTACACTTATTAATTAACTAGAAAACATAATGAAACACAATATCAAAGGTGTTTACGGTCCAAGCATGTTCTTGAACCGTAAACCCTAATGAATCGGCCATTGTGTGCCCTAGTCCCTTACCAAGCCTTGGATACTAGTCTAGATCATATCCCTGAAGTGCTTAGGACCTTAAACATCAAAAACACCATGAACCATTAGAGTTTACGGCCGTAAAGTCATGGAGAAAGGGTCCATGGGCCGTAAACTCCACAAAGGGGTGAAATGATGCCACAATCACTTCCTAAGGCTTAGACTTGAAGTTAGGATGCTTCCTTATGACCTTAAAGACTTCAAAACACAAAATGGTAGAAGTACCATGAGTTTACGGCCGTAAACTCATGGGTTTACGACTGTAAACTCCAAGGGAGTTGGTCACAAAACCGTAAACTCCAAAAGAGTGTCTCCTTGGACCCTAAACTCAATTGCAAGGCTCTACAACCCTTAGATGCAATCCTTAGTACTTATGACACTTAAATCAAGTGTTTTTCATGTCCTAGGGCGTCTTAACTTGGTTAATTAGTTGTTTAATGACTAATTGGATACATATATGTGTTATTATATGTTAACTAGGATCCTTGTGTGTGTTCAAGTCTTCACTTGACACTTAGCATCCTATAACATCCGTTCATCCAAACCACTCACTACAGGTGAGTTCATACCCCTTAATCAACCTTTTAAATGATTTTAAATGCTTTTATGAGGGGGAATACAAGTTTGATCTATTATAGTTATTATATCAATCACATGTGATTAATAACTATCAAACAAGTGGATTTCTTACTTTTCAAACTGTGTTATCAAACAAACTACTTTAAACTGTTTTACAAACTCTTTTACATGTCAAATACTTTTATTAAACTCTTTTAAACTTATATTCTGTTAAATATGTATCTATATAGATATAGTTATATAAGTAGGATTGAAAGAACTTAGGACTAATAGCTCACCTTACCTCCTGTTCCTCGTTTGGTGGTGGACTTAGGGTATCGGTTGTTTGTCCGAAGGTCGTTTGAATCCTAGTTATATATTATGTATATGTATATAGATATAAAAGTTCCTTCTTTCTATTCAATACCTTTGGGTAGCAAAGGTATACAAACATGTTCATACATATAGAGAGAGAACATACGATACACCTAGTACATAGAATACCATATAGAGAGAACATACATGCATACTAGACAGAGAGAGAACATACAATACAACTAGTACATACAATACCATACAGAGAGAACATACATACATACTAGACAGAGAGAGAACATACAATACAGCTAGTACATACAATACATTCACAAGTGCACTAATACAGTTATGTGAGCCACGTAACGGGGCATGACATCACTTCTCATGGCTCGTTTTGTATCCAGAATCTCCTTAAATGGAGAGCGTTGAGTTTGTGTATATAGCTATACTGGATTGACTATCCTACACCTTGCTGCTCGCTACAGTGTGACTTGCAAGTCTACGGGTGCCAAACGTCATTCGTTCCGACGTCTTACATCGTCGTGTTTATAGTCGGTAGTATGGTATAGGCCGATCACATAAGTACTTTAAATAACAATTGGTTTAGGGTAGTTAGTACAGCAGTAGTTACTTAATACAACACTACAGTACTATTTCATTTTTCCATTGCATTCACTTTGTGATCTTCACACAATAAACAGTAATGTAAAAACTATATTTTTGGTTAATGATAGTCAAGATTTGGGAAAATACATACTCTTACAAGAGACACACACACAAACACTTGATGCCTTGGTAGAAGGCTACTTTTAGTAGAAAATATAGGGATTTCTAGGAGAGTTCAAACACTTACAAACATCTTACAAACATCTTACAAACATCTTACAAACACCTTACAAACATCTTACAAACATCTTACAAACATCTTACAAATATCTTACAAACACTTTCATACAAACACAGACACTAATATACTTATGATCTCACCAGCTTTAAAGCTGATAAACTCTTTCAAAATAACTTGTATTCTCAAGTCACCAGTAGACAGGTACCAGTGCCAGGTTTTGAGAAGATGGAGCTCGTTCAAGACTCATCTTTTATTTTGATTCATATTTTTGGTGTCTATTAAACTTGACAGAAAACACGTGTATTCAATTATATTATTAATGCAATGGATGATTTTGTTGCTTGTTTACTACTATTCATTGTTGTGATACTGTACATGACGTCCTCCACCCCCGAATGATTCCGCCGTTCCGGTTTTGGGGTGTGACAAAGTACAAGATCACTAGAGTGTAAAAGCACAAAAGCTCAAAAGATTACTCTCGACTCCTATACTTACCCTATTTATAAGGTGACACAAACGCGAAAAAAAAGGACTAAACGTTTAAGCTTCGACCACTAAGACTGCCTTAAATAATAGATACATTCGAAGTACATGATTTCGACATCGACACTACCCAGGCCTAAATGTACTTCGACACCTCACTATATTTTTCGAACCTTACAGCGTACTTAGAAGTACGCCCAGCGTACACGGCCAAAAGTCACTTCCCCATTAAGTCCTTATTTCATGAAGTCCTTTCGTCCAATTGCAGATCTATCCCCCAAGTATCATTCCAAACCAGAAAGTTTCCATCTTTATGAGTTTGCATGCATAGAAAATGCCTAACATCAAAACCCTAACATGTCTTAAGCTCTTAAGCTCTGTAACATTTGCATGGAAGAGAATAAGGGACCAAGATTAAATTTTT